TAGTTTCCATCCAAAAAAATCATTCGAAAAGCATAGAAAGACTTATTTGTCTTTTATATTTTTAAATGAAAAAATAAATAATAAATACAAAATATTTGTCTATATTTCTATATACTCTATCAAAATATTTGGACAGAAATCGTCTTCAGAGACAATAATTGAAGACTTTCATTATAAACAAAATATTATGGTGTGAATATAATTATCTTTCTAAATATTACTGTCGTCAAGTTTGCCTTTTCAAATAAACATAGTGATTGATTTAATTTTGACTTCATTATAGCTAAATCGTTTTCGAATAAAACTTATTTTCTTCACTACTAGCCAACTGACCCTCCTAGGTGCAGGTGTACAATTAATAACTAATGTAATAATATATAGTTTTCATCAAAAAATATTATTGAACAGTAATTTGACTACATTACAATCACACATTTTTCAGTAAAATAATATTACTCGCGAACTCAATTTTTTTTTTTAATTTTTTAACCACACATTTTCTGTCATAACACTATTACAAAATACATTTTTTTGAAGGGGAAAAAAAAAACTTGCTTAGCAATGCCGTAATTGACAAGGTTTGCAAAAAGAATGCCGATTGTGACATTTAACAGGAATAATATGCTAAGCCCTCCACGGATTCTTGTGGGTGCAATCTCTGATAAGAAAAGGGAAATGCCTGAAAATTCATGCAATACTTACATGTAAGTTTGTCATATTGAAATTTACGCTAAATTTAGTTTTGAACAAGTCTCCTCGTATAGAATTGATTTCTTCAACTTGGATTTTTTTCCTAAATTTGATATCATATTAATTGTTTTAGTGTGTATTAATTTGAACTCAAAAATATATCCGTATTTATATCATGTTTGTTAGAATTTGGGTGTGACTTGAATTCCTTGTTGAAGTAATTGAAGAATTCTAATTGATGTGCACATCAAGAAGAATTCAGTTTGGAATGCTATTAGAGTCATATGTCAAGTTGAAATTTTATTTTGGAAGTTGTAATTTGTTTTGAACTCTATTTTTTGGTATCCTACATCATCAACAACTCTATTAGGAGAGTTTGGACATCCCCTACATGTTCCCTATAAATATTAGGTTTTTCTATAAAATTTTATGGTGTGAGAAAATAGATTACTAGAATTATAAGATCTATTATAATGTTTCTCTCTTCTCCATTATTTTTGAGTCAATAAAATCTCTTAATTCTTCTGTCATATTCTTGTCTTTATTATTCTTTTGTTTGATCATATATTTCATTATTATTTATCATATAACTTCAACATCTCATTTCGAAGGTTNGATTACTAGAATTATAGGATCTATTGTAACTCTCTCTTCTCCATTATTCTTGGTGCAATAAAATCTCTTAATTCCTCTGCCATATTCTTGTCTTCTTTTATTCTTTTACTTGATCATATATTTCATTATTATTTATCATATAACTTCAACATCTCAATTCGAAGGTTTATTTTACAACAATTGGTATCAAAACGTCAGGTTCAGCAGTTCTGCAAGAGCGCAATGTTTGATTTGTTCGAGATTTTTTTATTCGTGATGACTTCCATGAAGTATGACATTCCGCTTTTGAATCGGAGAACTAGATTTTCACTATAACAGATTAAGATGCGTGCAGTACTCGCACAACTGGATTTGGATGATGCGTTGCTGGGAATTGACAGGATGCCCGCAACTTTGACCACGGATGAGAAATTATAAAAGGATAAAAATACAGTTTCTTTCATTCATCTTCATCTTCATCTTCATCTATCAAATACTATTTTTTAGGACATTTTGAAGGAAAATTCAGCAGTTGCTTTATGACTGAAATTGTAGCATTTGTGCATGACTAAAAGTCTAAGAAACAAGTTGAACTTCAAGCAGCTTTATACTCTCATCAAATGGCAAAAGAAGGATTATTGGAAGATCACCTGGCTTATTTAAGGAGATCGTCGCTGATTNCATTTATACTCTTATCGAACGACAGAAGGAGGACAATTGGAAGATCATCTAACTGTATTTAAAGAGATCGTCGCTGATTTGGAAACTTTGGAAGTAGAGTATGATGAAGAAGATTTGGCATTGATCCTATTGTGTTAGTTGTCCGCATCTTTTTCTTCATTTAGAAACGCGATCTTGTATAGTCATAATACTATCACCATAGAGGAAGTGTGTGATGATTTGTATTTAAAAGAGAAGATGAAGCATCTGGTTTCTAAGGCCAGAGATGGAAAATGTCTAGTTGCTCATGGTAGTTTTGGAAGGGCAGATCGAAATCTAAGTTCAGTAATTAAATTTGTAACTACTACAAGAAGAAGTTGCACTTAAAAAAGGATTGCTACAAATTGCATAATAAAGAAAGGATGGCTACAAGTAGATATTCAGATACTTCAGGCGAAGCAGACCTCGCAGAGAATATTGTAAGTGACGGAGATCCCTTAGCTATTTCTGACATTGAGTCTAAACCGGAAAATGATTGGATTCTTGATTCAGCATGTGTATTTCATATGTGTCCTAATAAGGACTTATTTGCTACATGTGAAACTGTTTCCAAAGATGTCGTGTTTATGGGAAATAACGCATCTTGTCGGATTGCTGAAATTGATACAGTCAGATTGAAGCTTTTGGATGGGACAATTAGAACATTTGACTATGTTCGACATATTCCAAATATGAAAAAAATCTCATCTCGTTGTCTATCCTTGATTCGAAAGGTTATGAGTTCTTTGGTTGGAGGTAGAGCTTTGAAGGTTTGTAAGGGTGTCCAAATTGTACTGAAAGGACAAAAAATGTCTCAGTTATATATCTTGTAGGGACGTGTAGAATTTGGAAGCATCAATCACCACACGTTCAATACCGTGGTGGATATTCAGTTTGATACAATACCTTTAAGAACTCATAAATGGTCGAATTTGAATAATATAGTTCAGGAGATATGAATTATGCCACTTTGCCACCATCACCTGCGGTAACATTGTATTAAATTGCTAGGGATAAACCCAATGGAAAAAGATATGTGGATACTAATTTTGTTGAGCATGCTTTAAGTGGAATAAAAGATGTACAATCTACCAAAATGCCTTCTTT